ATTTATTTTTTGGCTTTTTTGTTCATATCTCTACATTATATTGACTCTTTTGTAAATGTTCCCAATCTGTACAGCTTACTTTTTAATAATTTTTGTTTGTTTTTTCTCTGTGTGTGTCTACAGTATCTCTATGGTCCATTTGCCTTTTTTATATCCAGGTGACAAGGCCATAATAGTTCCCATGACAGGCCGTGATGCTTTTTCCATTTACCAAATGGTATTTGAAAACCTAAAGGTTTATGTGACAGTTTTTGAGTAAATCTCACAAGATCGACTGTAATGTTCTACAAGGGCAGAGTTAAAAATGGCAGATAATTTTACTTTAAGCCACCCACCATTTAGACCCAGCAGGTGGTGCAAGTGGAGGTTTATTTTTATTTTTTTTGATACCTTGAAACAACCCGGAACAGACATCAAGCTGTTTTAAAGAGCACTAGAGACTTCCACCTTGCTCTTTCTCCCGTGTATATCCCATCTCTCAGTCTGTTAACACTCTAGATAGATGTGGATAGAATATTGATTTTACAAAATAATGTATCTTAAACTTGTTACTATACTTAGTATGAGGTTGTAATCTGGCAAAATCACAACAATGTTTCAATGATATTTTACATTCTGACAGTATGACTGTCAGCATTTACATGCTGCAGAACTGCATTTCTGTCAGCAGTGCATGTATTTCTGTCCGTTTTCATCGCTGCGTCTGTGACTGTGGGATCAGTGATAATCTCTGAGGTGACCCACTGACACTTGCCCGGGGATAACCCCACATGCACACATATACTCTAATGCAGACAGCTGCATGCAGCTGGCCTCTTTAGCACCCAGATGTTCCGATGGGATTTAATGTAATGTAACTATAAAGTTGTTCCATTTAGCAAGAATATTGCTGTATTACTTGCCTCTCTTATTTGTCTACTTGTTGACTTTACAGTGGAAGATTTGTATCCTACCAAGTGGAGTCACTAGAAAAGTAAGGATGTTCTTCAGAAAGCTAAAGGAACATTTCCTTATAGTGTTGGTCTTATCGGTCCATGCTGGTATCAGGTTAGGATAATAGATTATGCAAACAAAGGTCCTTGCAAAGAACAGGCTTTTGTACTGTCTGGGTTTGTGTGGCTGTGGCTAAAAACAGTGGGAGACTAAGAGGCTTTGTGATCCTCTGAGCTACACTGAATGAGTGAGATAGTGAGAAAAGGACCAAATAAGAAAAGAAAAAGAGTTCACACACAGCAGAAAAAAGTTAAATAAATGTAGAAAATTGGCAAAACTGTTTCAAAAACTAAGAACAAAGAAAAGATATTTTGAATTATTTTTTAAAGAGAAAGAGGATGCAGTGGAGGCGGAGAGGAAGAGCTTGGTAGATTAAACTGGGTTAGAGGGGATTAGTGTCAGGTTTGGTTTGGTTGTAAACTCACATCCATGTCAGTCACTTTTGGCTGTGACTGACATGCTCACACTGCTGATTCATTCCATCTCAGAGATCAATCTCTAAATCAACACACGCAGGAACACTGGAGCACAGGAAGATAAGGTACATTGATTTTAATGCTGTTTCCGTGAGTTGACTGGATTTAAATGCATTTGTTTGTGATTTAAAACTGAAGAAAAAAACAGGTTGAACTGACTGACCACAGATGTGTTTTGTGGCGCTGTGGGTTGAACATGAACACAGTTCTTTTTGATTGTTTGTTCAAATATATTCAGGTCTTTATTGTCTTTTTAGTTATAGGAAATGTGGCTGCATTGTTTTATTAAATTATTTTTATTCAATAGAATGTTAAACTAATGGATTGCTTAGTGACAGAAAATTATAACTGGATTAGTTCAATTATAAAGACTTGTCAAAATTCACAGTTATTCCAGTTTTGTATGAAATCATATACATGTAAGGAAATGCAGTTTGTAAAAACTACTGATTAAATCCTTTTAAATGAAGCCCTGTTGATTGCACCGGGTCAACAATTTAGCAACCACACCTCCTTTAGTGTTAATGCAGGAACGATAGGGGATTAGGGAGGGGGATCAGGAATATATAGAATAAGCCACTGAACATTGGTAAAGCAATTAAGTTCTAACCTTACTGCCATTTCTATCAAACTTTTTTTTTTTTCCTTTGTTGTCGTTGTTTTGGGGTTTTTTTTAGGGCTAGATTTGTGGAAAGCTTTCTTTTTATTTTCAAGTGTGTCAAATTATTTTATTTATTTATTGTCTAAATTTTCGTTAAATATTTAATATTGATGATAAAATCAGAGTGCTTTGACTAAAAATGGCCATGGAATGTTAAACTAGTGGGATTAAAGCATTAAAATATGTTGGTGTTTTTTGTTTTTTTTCTTTTGGTTGGATTTTAGTGTAATAAATACTCTATGTCAGAACCGTGCAGATTCTCAGACATGTCATATTTAGTGGGAGGTTTTTATGATTTCTTAGAACTCTTCTATTTTGGTTTCCTATGACTTTAAAATAAATAACATTAATAGTTTTCCTTAAAATTAGTTTTTAGCAACAGTGGAGAAGAAAACTCCTTTAATAGATAATGTAGATGCTATTTAACAGAATTGGTGAAATGTAATTAAATCAGTTTTTCAGCAGTTTTTTGCCATAAATAATGTAGTTTATACTTTTTAACTGTACAGATCAGGACCCCTCCATAAACTGAATATTAGCTCTTTTGACCCATTCCTAAGAGCCATGTCACACCTTGCCGATTTATCCATTTCTATGTATTTTTTCAATGTACATAGCGTATTTATAACGAGTCCAGAACATATGTCCAATGACAATCTAACTTATGCATAAAGCACGGCAGCGTAATGCCCATGAAATGTCACAAGCCAGTGTCCTGAGGGGGCAGCAATGCGCCCTGAGGTGCCCGGCCTGCATAAAAGGATGTCTTTGATCGCGGTATTAACCCAGCCACCAAAAAGAAAAAAATAAAGAATGAAGGTTTGCAGTTGCAGCAGATTCAGCGTCATGTTTGCTAGGAAGTTTGTTGGTCGTAGCCATGGGCGTGAACGCAGGGAGGATCCATCACACTCACCTTCACACCTAACCTATGATGGGGATGAAGTCTGGAGAAGAACTGACGGTTTCCTCCTGAAACCCCACTTTTATACCAAAACGCTGCCAATACACCATTATACAATAGCTATAAGTGAGAAACAGGTTCAGCGGTCGTCTGGAACACGTCAAATATGTTGATATGATTTGGAGATAAGTTCTTGATAAGTTCTTGATAAGTTATACACAAGTAAATCATAGGGTTTTGGATAAGCTAGACACCACGACTTATGAGTAACTTAAACTTAACGTATGTCACCGATCAGATAATTTTATCTGTAACTGATGGCCCACGTATGAGCATACAATGGCATACTTCGGGATTTCTCAAAAAACTTGTTGTATGTGTACGTGTTTCAACGTACTTCAGCATACAACAGCGTGCTGTTTTACAAAGCTTACACATAACTTATCCAACATATGACAGCGTTTTATGCAAGATTTTTTGTGTGGAATATGCTGTTTAAATCGTCAAGGTGTGAGAGATCCTTAAACAAGAAGTGTTTTTATGTATGTGATCATCCTGCTTGAAACAGCATATTTTCCTATTTCAAATAATCAAGCATAATAGAAGATAAAGTTAAAAAATGTAGCACCATTCCTTCATTATTACTTGTGTTATATACTGTCTATTAAATCAGCACTATCACTACCACCATCAAGTTTGTTCCTAAGTTGGAAAATCTTTCCATGACTCCTCCAGACATTTCTGTGGTCCAATAGCTTAATCTTTGTCACTGCTAGCTATTAGTTTCTTATAATTGAAAACCATACTACCATTTCTTGATCAATTTCTATTCTGCTCTTTTCAAATGTACAGCAATCATACTTTTTGGATTTTTGAACCTGTCACAGACGGTTAAGTTACCTTTATTTTCTATATTAATTGTACTATTGTTGACAGGTGTGACAATCTCTAAAGGATAGTATTGCGTACAAAAAATTATCTGAAATCAGTGTGGGGAAAAGGAGTTTCCTATATTTACAAGGGGAGTTTTGTTAAATTTGTTTCACACCTTATATATTTTTATCAAACCACTGCATACCACAAAAACAACTGACTGGCTTAGGTAATGAAAAAACAGGCAAATGAGGAGACACAGGTGATTACAATCTGTTAAATAACAGAAGGCTCTGGCTCAGACAGAAATTATTAAACATGAATAAATCAGGAAAAATGAAAGAATGTAACTGAGAGATTCAATCCAATTATATAAATATCATGACCAATGAAAGTAAAGACAAAACCAACTAAAGAAAAAATATGCAAGAGACATTAACGAGAGAATATTGGGCAAAAGGTTAACAAAGCTAACTAGTATGGTAAACCCAAAACAGCAAAACTATATCAAACCATAAAAAAAAAAACATCATGCAACCTGCAGGACCTAAAAAGCATATCCATATTTTTAAAAGCTATTTGGCTGTTGTGCAGACAATGGTTATACTGAAGGTATTCATATTAACAGAGAGTCTTAAAGTGGTTAGCATTGAGGCCAGCAGCTGCAGTCAGTCTGCCCACCTTAATTTGATCAGGGGAAAGCAGCTGCTTTAGACTATTACTTAAAGCTTAGACAGGCCATCTGTCAGCAACTTCAAACCAAGACCGATATTAAAACCAAGGAGCAGGATGTCATCAATAGATTATTTTTGTGTAGGACTGTTGTACCATCTTGTAGTGATTCACATCAATCTCATGACCTTACAAAAAAGCCCTGAAAGCATTTCTAAAACCATATTTAGTTCCCAGAACTTTAAACAACATTGTGGCTCCTTTTGGCTCCAATTTAACTGAGTAAGAAGGAATGCATAACTATAAACTACATTTGGAGGTATTAAAAAAGTTGTAGGCGATTTATGACATATGCAACTTGCTCTACTGCATTTCATGATAATGTTTGGCAAATGTTATGTGATTTCTTTCAGGTCAAATACCGATTCCTTCCTCTACAGTGTTTCTAGATGACAACAATGAGACAATCTATGGAAGATGGTGAGAAAACAAAGAAACAAAGAAACTATGAGACAAAGCATTAGCTCTGCTCCTTTTACATTTGCTAATATAAACTCACACACGCACACACATTCACTCCTAAAAAACAACCAAACTTTCTCATTCACACTACTATGATCTCAGTGTATAATAAAAACACTACAAAACTCTTACAAACATGATGTAACTCTCTAACATTCATCAACCTCTCACACATACCATTAAACCTATATATACACCAACACAATCATATACAGATATATCCAGATATATCAGATTATCGTACACATACCATTAAATGCTCTATATACATACATACATAATATATATACATATATTATGAAATTCTTACACTTAGAACAAACTCCTAAAACCACTATTCAACACTCCTAGATATAACACTTTAATATTCAGACATGTACCTTTTTTTTCATTAAATGAACATTTTAATTATTAGTTTACATAAAAAAAATAATTAAATAACAAAAAGTTGATTAAATTGATAAATTCTGCTCATTTGAATCTGACTACAATTTTATAAAAAAAAAAAAAAAAAAAAGATTAAATGACTTTGAGCTTGAATGTTTTATGGTATATGTGAGCGAGTGTGAGGATTTATCTAAGATTTGTTAGTATAAAGTTTGTTGGTATACATGAGAGTTTATTGACATGTGAAGGAATCTGATGTTTATATTAGATAGTTTGATGTAATATATAAGAGAGTTTAATGGTATGTGTGAAATAACCTTTTGTCTAAGTTAGTTTGATAACAGATGTAAGAGAGTTTGCTGTTAAGTAAGAAAGAGTTTCATTGTACATGTTTGAGAGTTTGATGTTTAAGAAACTGTCATAGTGTATGAACATGAGAGTTTGGAAATATTCAATTGGGACACTGAGAATATAGGTGTTCTGATATGGTTTGGTTGCTTTATACAACTTAATAGCTGTGTTTATAACAAAGTTTATGCAAGCATGTATCATTTTTCATAAATTTTGTCTCATGGTGCTCTTCTACACATGTATGTGTAGAAGAGCTGATATAGATGGCGCTTTCCTTCGCTTTAGTCACTTTTCATATCTCAGTTGTTTCACTTTGGTGATAGACTCAGGTCATAGTTTAAAAGGCAGCTTTGAAAAGATGTATTAATAAGTGGCAGCTGGTGCCATTGCTTTTACTATTTTCCCCTTTTGAAACAATAAAAAAGACTTCCCTTTGAACAAATCAAATTGGATCCTCCAACTTTTATTCCACTTACCACACAGATTTATATTGGGATTTAGGTCTAGGAACATTGCAACAAAAGGAGGTTCAATTTTTTCTCCAGTGACTCTTTTCTATGTTATTTTGGCCATCTGTTTTGAATTGTCACTGTGCTGTAAGACCTTTGATTTTTCTTATAGGCTTCAGGTTTTTACATAAAAATCTCCTGATACGTCTACGAGCTCCTGATGCCATTAGTTGCAACAAGATTCCAAAGACTTTTAGAGTAGAAACAGTGGGATAACACAGCATCTGTTGGATAACTATGTGTTTTACATATTTATCCTTCATGCGTATTACTGTGTATGCTGTTTTGTTCCCTACAGCCTAAAAGTTTGATGTCCGATTATATGTCTGCATTTATATTTCTGATTCAGTTACAAATTTCTTAGGCAAGCTGTAATTTATCAGACAGCAAAAATAAGGCTGTGGTTGAGAAACGTCCCTTCTCTTAATTTGGAAAGCTGAAATAGCATTCAGTTGTGATATGATGTCAGTTGTGATATGAAGGTCTCTGTGTTTCTATGTTTGCAGGAGTCAGTGAGGTTTTATCGAGTGTTGTGGAGGATGTTGGTGAAGCTGTCAGTAGAAACATTAGTGGTGCTCAGCTTCTTCATGAACTACTGAGTGCTCCATGGCTACGCGCCTTACTAAAGGTATTTCATAAATTTTTTGTTGATGCAATGCATTGGACCCGGTATATATAGCTGGGGATTGATTAAACAATTGTTTGTGTTGCCTTTTTAGATTTATGAGTGCCTGTTGCAGTTCCAGAGATTTACTCCAAGTCCACTTCTTCCATGTGCCTCTGGACTCGTACAAGAGGTGAATAGACAAATCTATATACATCAATCATACCTAGTTTTTAATCTGGACTTATTTTCTTTTACAATGTTACATTTTTTTGTTTTGCCATTTTTTAGGCATTATCATATTTCATCAGGCTAATGTTTTAAATGCATCTTTTAAAAGAGATGAATAAATAACAATTTTGAAAATTGTTGAATTTTTGACAAATTGTTCAATAAACAACAGTTTGAATAAACAAATTGTTGTTTATTAATCATCTCTGCTCCTCCCATGTCTTTACATTTTCTTTTTAGCACCTTTTCTAACTTAGCCAACTCCTATTCTTTCGTTCTTTTCTATGAGCTCAGAATTCTAACAAAAGAGCACCATAATTAATACCATACGGCCAGCTTTATTTAAAATTTAAGCACATGAACTACTCTTCACCAAGATTTAAGCTAGGAATATATCATAAGGTGTACACATTGGTGTATAAAATCTTTAAGCTTTGCAAAACGTTATTTTGAGGTGGAATGCAGCTGACTTTTTCTCTTTGTTACAACAGCATTTTTTTTTCCTAATAATGAGCAGTATGTGTGTTTGCCTAGAGGTGGAAATTTCATAAGGAAATAATTTTTGGTACAATATTATGTTTCATAGGATAATTCAAACAACCAGAAAGTGTAATGCTACGTTTGCAATGTGATTTGAACAGCAAAAAAGTACCTGCAGCTTCCTTTTTGATGCTTGTACATTAAGACCAGGTGTGTACAGATGCATCTGATGTTTCTGCTGCTCCTGTGTTCAATGGCAGAGAGCAGCTTTGGAATATTTGCTGTGATCGGTGGGTGAAATTTGGTTTTAATGTTTTTAATTGAGAAAGTACACCTCTACACATTATCTGTGCAGTCAGTTCATTAAGTTCACAATCCTGCCTTAAAATATTATTTCCGTCTCGGACGTGAGCAGACCCCTACATACTGACGGTGTGCTGTCTCTAGGAATCCCCAGCAGCAGCTGCCTCAGGCCCTTTTACCCTTTGGTTTTTTACTCCTACTATTCATAGTGGCTGAAAGTAAATGTTAGCCTTTTTCAGATATGTGGTGCTAACTACAGGCACTAGAACAATAAAAGCGAACATAGTTTGCAGGCAGATTTTTCAACATTGTAAGGTAATTTAGGCAGTAAACAATTTTAATGGAGTGATTACAGCGATCTGCATCAGCAGTGCTGTGTCTGTCTCCCTGCCAGCTACCAAATCAGCTTCATTGATTGGTTGATGTGATTGATTGCTTTTTATACACCTGTAGATCCTCTCCTACTCGAGTGTCAGTTTACATCAGTGGCAGACTTTGAACTGTGTGGTATAATAACAGCCTTATTACAGTGTAATTTTAATAACCACATAAAGAGCCATTGCACTCTAATATGCTAGCAGAAATCCTACCAACATCATCAAAGCTTTGGCAACATCCTTATGCTTAATGCTGCGAGAAGTTGTTAATAAGCAGAGAGTAGTAGTGGGTATTCATAACCAATCAAGAAATTCACAAAGGTTGATTTTGGAAAATCTTTAGATTTGTAGATGATTTGCTTGTGTAGATAGAACCTGGAGTAAATTTCTGTTCCTGTTATTTTATGTAGTAAACCTTTTAAGGCCATTAACGTCATTGAGGTGTCTAGAAATGTTAATGCTCTTTTATTATGTTAATGTTTTATTTTTTTTAGATTTTCAACTTGTGTGTTTCACACTATGTCTAAAATTTAGAAAAACTAGGTGAACCCAAGCGGCCACATTAGTATTGGCTATGCAGAGAAAAATAATTACACATGAAATTACATGAAGTATTAATAGACTTTTGATGTTTTCATGTTTAATTGCAAAGCATAATCCCAGAGCATGTGAAGTGGTTAGAAAAAATTATAGTTTTTAAAACGTTTACAACAGAAATCTGTTTGATTCCTCCTAAATTCAGGGAAAAACAATTATTTTCACAACTCATTTATTAAGAAAGTTGAGTCCTAGAGCATGGAGTTTAGGCTTAGCATAAATCCATATTCTGTGAAGGGCTCAAAGCATGAAAAACAAGAAGCGCAAGAGAGATTTTAGGGATTAATTTAGGAAGAAATTTAATGAAGGATTAGGTTTCAGAGCAATATCCTGCCTTGTTCTGCCTTACTAATGGGGTATTGCTACATCCATTCTGCTAAAATGGTGAATATAAGCCCATCTGCACACCCAGCATGGCTGTCTACTAATACAGAAAGACTGAACAGCAATTATCAAAAAGGCAATCAACAGGCCACTTTTAAAGCTGGAAAAGTTGCAGAGATCTAGAGCTAAGGTTTAAGTGTTTTGAAAGGAAAGCTCTTAGTCTTTGCACTTAAAAAGTCATGCTTTTATGAAAAAGATTAACACTATGGTCTAAAGAAAGCAAGACAAGGAGGATTTGCGGTTCTTAAAGGAAAGTAGGGGAAACAGTAAACATCTGGATGGAGGTCAAGATCTGACTTTTTTAACGATGTGCAACATGTAAGGGTAGATGTAGATTAAGATTAATCAAAACTTAAAACACAGTGAATATTGAAAGAAGGGCAACACAGAGAGACAGAGACACAGAGGACAAACAACCATTCACACACACACTAACACCTAAGGAGAATTTAGAGAAGCCCATTAAGCTAACAGTCATGTTTTTGGACTGTGGGAGGAACCTGGGGTACCCGGAGAGAACCCATGCATCCACAGGGAGAACATGCAAACTCCATGCAGAAAGACCACGACCCAGGAATTGAACCCAGATCCTTCTTGCTGCAAGGCACCAGCGCTACCCATTGATCGACTGAGCAGCACCCAAATGTTATCCTTTCCTTTCAACCCATAATTATGTGTTGGTCTGTTGCCCAAAATCATATTAAGCACTCTAAAATGTTGGGTCGTATTCAGCAAATGCAACCAGTTTCATTTGTTAAGTATACGTTTCTAAGGGAATTGTATTATTTGAAATTCCACCTATGGTTAATAATCTTTCTTGTTTTACTTATTTTTCAGATCATGGTAATTATACAAAGAGCTAACTGTCCTTCACCTGATGCTCTTGAGCTCTACAATCTCCTCAGCTCACCACATATCCAGGTTTGACCTTTGATTGAACCAAAACATCCATCTGAAGCATTTTCAATGTTGATATAACACTTTTGGATGGTATTTGTGTCCACTAGGCCCTCCTATCATCTCACGACAGTGTGGCACAGTGTGACTATTTACCCATCCTTCCTCCTCTTCCGGATGAATTACCCGAGGATGAGGAGGCCATGAGGATTGTTTGTCTTGTGAAGAACAACCAACCTTTGGTGAGATTTAAGTAACGTTTTTGTCGACTCTCCATTGAAGTTTAATGATGGCCTAAATAAACCTATAATCTTTGTGTAATTTCTATTATTTGATGTATCTAATTGCAAATATTTAATTATTTTTCCATTGAATCAATGAACATTCACTCAAACCAATCTCAGTTTATGATTAATATTTGATACTGTACTAAAGTAGTTTGCAGTTAACCTCTAGATCAGTTTATACTCAGACTTTGAGTTTGACAGGGATCTCTTTAAACCTTAAAAAACAGAGTTTCTTGTTCATCCTCCAAGACTGGAAAGAGTTGCAGAAATGTAGAAGATGGGGTCGGAGTGATCCGCAGTCGTTGGAGCAGCCTCCGCCGGCTCACACTGGAGCGCCTCATTCCTGCAAGAAGGGCGTGCTCAGGAGAGGAGTTCAGAAGGGCAGAGAGTGAGGCCAGGCCTCTGCCCCCTCTTGGAAATCTGACCTGCCAATCTCTTCCTGGTTACATGTTGACACCAACATATTGTTTATGTCCACATAAAGCAGAACTTCCAAAGCAAGTGCTCCATCACTCAGCTCCGTCTGTTTTTAACCCAGGCAAGTGTTCCGGTAAGACAAGGATGAGTTGAACCGATCATTCATTTGTCTGTGATCAACCTCCATCTTCAGCCGCAATGATGGAGAATTCTGAGGAATCAGCCCATCATTAATTATGCTGATAATCATTATGTTAATCAAACCCCATCAGCATTAAATGTTCCCATTGTGAAGACATCGTTATTGATTTTTCCATGGACAGGCATATTCTTTGTTCCTTTTTTGCTACCATGTAAACCTGAGGGGGTGGGTCTCATGGTTCCATTTCTGGTGTGGGGTCTCATGGTTCCATTTCTGGTGTGGGGTCCCGTGGTTCCATTTCTTTGGGGGGTCTCATGGTTCCATTTCTTTGGGGGGTCCTGGGGGTTCCATTTCTTTGTGGGGTCTCATGGTTCCATTTCTTTGGGGGGTCCCATGGTTCCATTTCTTTGGGGGTCCCATGGTTTCATTTCTGTGGGGGTTCCCATGGTTCCATTTCTTTGGGGGGTCCCATGGTTCCATTTCTGTGAGCTTCGAACATAATTTGCATTCTTGTACTTTGTAGACGTCTACAGCTTTTCTTCTTCTGCTGTCCCCCACTGGTTTGTTTCAGAGAGACCCAAAACCAACAAAGAAGATGATGCTTCAACTGACAGGAGCAGTGATGATTATTCTTACCCTCCCCCTCCAATCCTAGCCTACAGTGTCAGTCTTCCCAACTCTCCCCTCATGTACAAAAAGGCTGCTTCAGGAGGAGAACTCAGGAACATTCGTACTCCTGGTAGGACTTTTGTTGAAGTCCACACAGCACCAGCTATTCCTGCAGCTCAGCTCTCTCATTGGCAGCAAGAAGTCCGCACTCTCCCTAATCCTACACACCGTCAACACAAAGAGCCTTTAAAGCATTCAGTTACACTCAACTCTTCTGTCCTGCATCACAATCAACCACAACTGGAGCAAAATCAGGAACAAAAACATGATCCACCGCCCAACCAAACCTGCTGCATGGAGGAGCTCAGGACCACAGTTCAGACTGTGGCCAGCAGTATTGAACACAGTAGTCAGGATGTACGCCACCTAGGACAAAAAATGGTGGCAGCCACAGAAATCATCACAGATCGTGTGGAGGAGAATGCCCAGGCCCTTAACCTTCTTGCTGAAGTGGTGGATAAGCTCCAAGGGATCATTGAGGCCAGAAACCAGCAAGAAGGATCCACTCGGTCTAACCGTCGCCCTCCACCACCTCCAAGAGTCTCTTCTTTATCTCCAAAAGGGATCTGCAAACCTCCCACATCGTACCCACAGCCCGCTTTGCTCTCCTCTTCTTCCTCCAGCTCCTCCTCTTCTCCATCCACCAGTTCCTGTGTGGATGGTTTTATGGAATACCAAAGTCCAAAAAGACGAAACATAAGCAGCAAGCAAGCAGATTATAGGGACAACAATGGACATGTTCTATTCAACAATGGACCTTTACCACAAGCTCAACAGGAAGGCAATCAAAGCCGTAATATCACAGGCTGGTTAACAATGAACAAGAAAAAGAAGAAAATTAAGCAGCCACAATAAAAGGTTCTTGCTTGGAAGCTAGAAACACACTAAAACTTATCTAGCCATTCTTTTTACAGGCCTTTTTTAGACAGGTTTTCTAAGATGAACAAACTAACATGTATCTTGTGATCACAAACTCAGAGTTTTTTTTTTTTTTTCTGAATCATCTGAAGAATGCTAAAGGAAAATAAATCAAAGGTACAAAGACTTTGTATTTTCTTCATGGGAATTTAGAGTAAGTGTACTGTTACTATGATTATCATTATCATTTTCCCATTTAAACCTTTAAAACTTTGGTTAGACTTCATTTTTTTATTTTTACTTCTACTATGATTGCAGCCTCATACACTTAACCCTGCAACTATCTTTAAAAATTTGCTTGAGCATTTGTCTTATTGACACAAAATGTTTCTGACCATTTCTCTATGTTAAATATTTTCAGCTCTGCCTCCTTTCTGAGAAAATAACTGCTTTGTTTTTTTGTTTTTTTTTTTTGTTTTGTTTTTTTTGGATGGCTGGCAAATTTGTTTTATTAAGTGTGTCTTTTGTCCCATAAAACTAATGAACTTCTAGTGTTTTTACCTTTATTGTACTGCAAAATACTGTATTGTAGCATTGAAAACCATTACAGGTGGTTAATTTTTAATCTAGGGGGCGACAATAAGGAGGGATGAGGAGACAGGAGACATCTACATTGCCAGAGTGATTCATGGAGGATTGGCAGACCGCAGTGGTGAGATAAAATTTATCCCAGCTGTCTTAGAAAGGCCTTAATAATGAATCTGAATTAAACAAAATATAGTATGGATTACCATAGATTTCTGTCTCAGGACTCCTTCATCCTGGTGATCTGTTAGTGGAGGTGAACGGCAACTCAGTGTTGGGGCTGGAGCCAGAAAAGGTCATTCACATACTGGTAGGTTTACAGGATAAAGGCCTATTTATGGTTTCAGTCAATCAGTATCAACTGTCTGGAACTAAATTATCTTTGTAATTATCAGGTCCAACACCTAAAACAATGTAAAACAAGAGTCAGAGATATTTTTACTCACGAGGAGAGTAGGAAGAGACCATGCAGTTACAATCTCCACCCCACTCTGCCGTCTTCAGCTTTCTCATCGCTATTTATTAAGGTCAGGGTGACCCTAGTTACACAAGCTGAGGTTGCACTAAAGAAGAAGGGGAACAAAATGACCTTACTTTGAACCTCATCACATATGTCAAAACAAAGCATGTGGTTTGATTTGCAGTTAAGTTTGTTCCAAGAATACATATTTCGAGAGTGACTGGTTCCAGCTCGAAAGAAAGGGCCGTATTACCCGGAGAAAGAAAGACCTTTATCTGGAACGGTCTTTAGCAACAGTTAATAAGCAATGAATCACACATTAAACATCATAATAACAAACATTAAGTATCTTATAAATGATTCCAACAGTAGTTTTCAAAGCATCAAATGCACTTGATTAGCATGGATATCCTGTATTCACACTGTTTCCTGATCACAGGGCGCTTGATCAAAGATTCAAAATAAGGAGCTGTACATTACTTAGAAAAAAATCCAGGTACAATTACCTTGAGTGTTGAATGATATAAGATAACAAGCACAAAGGATATCACATACAAATTCCCTTTGATCATCTCATTTTAACTAGTAAATTGCGTAAGGTAGACCTTATTTGGATATATATAGTATGCCTTTATATTTAAGTTAAAAACACATTTTGTAACAGATAACAATGAGGACCAAAAGTCTACAACAGAAGAATATTTAAATATTTATTGAAATGTGTGCTGCTAGATTGTCAGGCAGCCACCTGTAAAACAATCAGGACCCTTTGAAGGAAATAAATAGGTTAGTGGCTGGGGAGGGATGTGTTGACAAAATTTGGTAAAGAAACCACTAACCTTCTTAGGATCCGTGAAAGCAAGGATGCCAAATTTTGGCTCATTAATTTAGTGGGCTGGTGACAAGAGAATGATGTCACAGTGGGACTGTCAAACTGTGACAGATAATCCCCGGTCTGATGTTTGATTAAACACATCCATAAAATGAACAAAAATAAGTCAACTTTAAGGTTGACAAATCCAGTGGATTGACAGCAGTCGGCGATCAGAAAGCTATAACTGGCTCAGAACCATGGAAGCAGAAACAGGTGACAGAATCTAAGGGTCAGGCTTGAAAAGGTTGTAAGGGTAGAGAAACCACATCAAACAAAGTGAGGCAGATTAAGCATGACAGATCCGGAGGTTAAGCAGGAAGTAGAAACAAGGTCAATGTCCAGAGATGAGAAGCCAGGAGAATATTTGAAAGGCGCAAAGAAAAACAGGGAAATCAAGGAGGCAGAAATAAGATCGAAAATTGGCAAGAAAGAAATGCTGGACATTTGCTCTCACTAGGCTTTCAGTAATCTGGCACTGTTTGCCAGCCAGAGGGCAGTATATAAAGCTAGGTAAACAAGTTGAGTGAATGAGGAGTGATTAGGGTGCAGGCAGGGAAGAATCTTAGATGCATCTGAAGTATATAGTTCGAAATTATTTCAAACTAAACAACTTTCACTGGAAACTGTTGTATCATTAATGAATGTTGAGCTGCCGTCTGAACAACGAGCAGTTTTTTCTGTGTTCACCCAGGCCAAAACTACGCCTATTGGAAAGAAGTTGCTAAATAATAACAATTAAAGATCCCCAATTTAAGCGACAGTTTTAAGCCACGATTCTTGGTAAAAATCTTTAAAGAGTAGCTACATTTTTAATTTGGTACTGTGATAAATAACATATGTTATTGATAATATTACATTGTGTTCAATGATAATCTGATCGAATGATGTTTCTGTTGCTGGTCTGATGTTTCTGAGAAATTTTGCAATTGACATTGATTGTCCTGTCTGTGTTTTCTCCCTGTCAGAACAGTTCGATTGGAACTATTCTCTTTAAAGTTATTCCAAGGTCCACTCAGGTCACCAGCAACCAAAAACCGGTAAGAAAACCCCTCTGCTGAAATACTAAGGCTAGTATTTCGTGCAGACAGATTGAGAGTGGTAGCTTCATTAACCTTAACCATTGTGAATTCAGATCTGACCAGAGGTCATTATTCACAAGGGGATTTTTTTCAGTCTGTATTCTACCTAAGATTTTTTACTTCCTTGATTTAATTCATATAATCAGCTAAGATGATAAAACAGTCACAAGGCAATAATACCCTTTGATTTAGATTGCTTAAATTAAAAGAAAATCTCTTAATCTTGCTCAAACTTAATTCTTCCCATCAAAATTCCTTTTTTTCTGAGTAAAGGTCGGTTTAACTAAATTCACTTTTTCAGAATCCAGGTTGTAATTTCTTAATTTATCAACCTCCTACAGTGTTTGCTAATCTCCACTAAACACCTTGATTTAGTGCTAGACATTGGATTGACATGGACCCAAGATATGTTGAGCGTTACTAAATTTGTTTATTGTTGTGAAAGTGCGCAATGAACATCTCCACTATAATATGATGAATATAGCTGGTTAGTTATTGGTGAAACGAAAAACACCACTTGTCCCTTTAAAGAAAGGTATACACTATACTGTATAATCCTCTTCTGTCCCTGGCAATTTAAAATTGTGGGATATTTTTATTATATTGTGATTTTTATATCATGATATTTTGATGAACATCACACTAAAGTCAAAATGACCAAAATCTCTTGCACTTTTTCATTATGCCTGATTACATTTTCAGTTTTCAGAGTCTTTTGTCAAAACAACATCTTCAGAAAAAATCTTATTGCCTCAGATTTAGGCGGAAACATATTGTCAAATTAAAATATTTATTAAATTAAATTCCATTATAATTTGACCAAAAATATAAGAAAAAAGAGGAAAACTTAAAAAATTAAAAACTTGCTGACTGGAAAGGTTTCTTATGTGTAGATCTCTCTGATTTTATCGTTTTAAGGTAGATCATTGGAATCTAGTTTCTCATTCCAGTATCATTGATTCAACTGACCTTTGGAATTATACAGAACATGACCTCTGTTTCTTTTATAATAGTTTCTTATGGCAATTACTTTGTGTGATATATTTTCCTGAAATCATGTGTAGGAGGTGAACATCTAGTAATGTGCGGACCAGTAGTCTCTTGAGATAATGGGTTTAAAGTTAAAAACGGATTCTGTGTCATGTGTGTCTATAAAGCTTTAAGCCAATCAGGAAACAGTTGAGCCATCAAGCAGGAGGCTGAAAGGCAACAATGTGGAGCAGATCAGCAGCTCATCTCACCCTCCGGTTACTTTATTTATAAAAGTTAGTTTTTCTGCTTCAGGCTGCCACATAAAGCACTATTTTAATTTAGAAGCGACAAAATAATAAGCATGTGGTGAAGTACTTAAAATATGATAAGTTAATATGTCAACAATATTTAAAAAGCAAATAAAAAGGGCTACACCTGTCCTGTAGTTATCTTGTAATTTCTTTCCCTCTTAATGTGATTCACAGCCTTAGTTACACCCAAGTTAATTCCAGCTCTTAAAATTAACTTTTTATATACATACATACATACATACATACATACATACATACATACATACATACATACATACATACATACATACATACATA